CCTTGTGGAACACTGGGAGCGAGTACTGTGCCTTGTGGAACACTGGGGGCCAGTACTGTGCCTTGTGGAACACTGGGAGCTAGTACTGTGCCTTGTGGAACACTGGGAGCGAGTACTGTGCCTTGTGGAACACTGGGAGCGAGTACCGTGCCTTGTGGAACACTGGGAGCCAGTACTGTGCCTTGTGGAACACTGGGAGCGAGTAACTGTGCCCTTGTGGAACACTGGTAGCCAGTACTGTGCCTTGTGGAACACTGGGAGCCAGTACTGTGCCTTGTGGAACACTGGGAGCCAGTACTGTGCCTTGTGGAACACTGGGAGCCAGTACTGTGCCTTGTGGAACACTGGGAGCCAGTACTGTGCCTTGTGGAACACTGGGAGCCAGTACTGTGCCTTGTGGAACACTGGGAGCCAGTACTGTGCCTTGTGGAACACTGGGAGCCAGTACTGTGCCTTGTGGAACACTGGGAGCCAGTACTGTGCCTTGTGGAACACTGGGAGCCAGTACTGTGCCTTGTGGAACACTGGGAGCCAGTACTGTGGCTTGTGGAACACTGGGAGCCAGTACTGTGCCTTGTGGAACACTGGGAGCCAGTACTGTGCCTTGTGGAACACTGGAAGCCAGTACTGTGCCTTGTGGAACACTGGGAGCCAGCACTGTGCCTTGTGGAACACTGGGAGCCAGTACTGTGTCTTGTGGAACACTGGGAGCCAGTACTGTGCCTTGTGGAACACTGGGAGCCAGTACTGTGCCTTGTGGAACACTGGGAGCGAGTACTGTGCCTTGTGGAACACTGGGAGCCAGTACTGTGCCTTGTGGAACACTGGGAGCGAGTACTGTGCCTTGTGGAACACTGGGAGCCAGTACTGTGCCTTGTGGAACACTGGGAGCGAGTACTGTGCCTTGTGGAACACTGGGAGCCAGTACTGTGCCTTGTGGAACACTGGGAGCCAGTACTGTGCCTTGTGGAACACTGGGAGCCAGTACTGTGCCTTGTGGAACACTGGGAGCCAGCACTGTGCCTTGTGGAACACTGAGAGCCAGTACTGTGCCTTGTGGAACACTGGGAGCCAGTACTGTGCCTTGTGTAACACTGGGAGCCAGTACTGTGCCTTGTGGAACACAGGGAGCCAGTACTGTGCCTTGTGGAACACTGGGAGCCAGTACTGTGCCTTGTGGAACACTGGGAGCCAGTACTGTGCCTTGTGGAACACTGGGAGCGAGTACTGTGCCATGTGGAACACTGGGAGCTAGTACTGTACCTTGTGGAACACTGGGAGCCAGTACTGTGCCTTGTGGAACACTGGGAACCAGTACTGTGCCTTGTGGAACACTGGGAGCCAATACTGTGCCTTGTGGAACACTGGGAGCCAGTACTGTGCCTTGTGGAACACTGGGAGCGAGTACTGTGCCTTGTGGAACACTGGGAGCGAGTACTGTGCCTTGTGGAACACTGGGAGCCAGTACTGTGCCTTGTGGAACACTGGGAGCCAGTACTGTGCCTTGTGGAACACTGGGAGCCAGTACTGTACCTTGTGGAACACTGGGAGCCAGTACTGTGCCTTGTGGAACACTGGGAGCGAGTACTGTGCCTTGTGGAACACTGGGAGCGAGTACTATGCCTTGTGGAACAGAGCTTTTCACCGTAGCCGCCTCAGACTTTACTCTGTTAACTACTACTCTCTGTGTTCTGTTAGTGAGTTAATTATAGATCCATCTACCAACTTTTCCTGTTATTCCTTTAGCACACATTTTGTGTTGAGCATTTCAGGCAAATTAGGTCAGTTTTGTCCCAGGATGAGACCCACACCAGTCGACTAACACCCAGGAACCCATTTTATACTGATAGGTGAACATGCACAGCAGGTGTCTTAACACGTCACTAATGTTTTCCAGCCGTACCGGAGATTCGAACTCTGGACCTCAGCGTGCGAGCTGAGTGCGCTACCGATCGAGCTATGTATGGTTCCTGCCTCCACTACATCACTTCCCAAACTATTCCACTTCCTGACAACTCTGTGGCTGAAGGAATACTTCCTAACATCCCTGTGACTCATCAGAGTCTTCATCTTCCAACTGTGTCACCTTGTTGCTGTCACAACTCAGAAACATTCTGTTCCTGTCTACCTTGTCAGTTCCTCTCAGTATTTTATGTAGTTAACATATTCCCCCTGTCCCTTCTGTCCTCTAGTGTCATCTGGTTGATTACCCATAACCTATCCTAGTAGGATATTCCCCTTAGCTCCAGGACTAGTCTCATTGCAAACCTTAGCATTTTCTCTAGTTTCCTAACGTTCTCGACCAGGTGTGGGTTCCAAACTGGTGCTGCACACTTCAGTATGGGCCTGACATACACAGTGTAGAGGGTCCTGAACGACTTCTTACTGAGATGTCAGAATGCAATTCTTAGGTTTGCTAGGTGCCCATATGCTGCAGCAGTTGTTTGGTTGATGTGCACCTCAGGAGATGTGCTCGGTATTATACTCCCCCCAAGATCCTTTTCCTTAAATGAGGTTTGCGGTCTTTGGCCCCACTAGCCTATACTCTGCAGTCTTCTTTGCCCTTCTCCAGTCTTCATGACTTAGCACTTGCTGGGGCTGAACTCCAGGAACCAGTTGTTGAACCAGGCTTGCAGTCTGTCCAGATCTTTTTGTAGTCCTGCCTGATTCTCATCCACTTAACTTCTCCTCATTAGCTTCACACCATCTGTAAACAGGAACACTTCTGAATCTGTCCCTTCCGTCATGTCATTCACATATATCAGAAACAGCACCTGTCCTAGGACTGACCCTTGTGGAACCCCGCTCATCACAGGTGCCCACTATGACACATCATCACATATCATCACTCGTTGTTGCCTTCCTGTCAGGTATTCTCTGATACATTGCAGTGCCTTTCCTGTTATACCTGCCTGTTCTTCTAGCTTTTGCACTAATCTCTTGTGCAGAACTGAGTTGAAAGCCTTCTTGCAGTCCAAGAAAATACAGTCTACCTACCCCTGGCTCTTGTCTTACTTCAGTCACCTTGTCGTAAAACTCCAGTAGGTTTGTGACACAGGATTTCTCCTCTCTGAAACCGTGCTGGTTATCGTATATAAGCTCATTTCTTTCTAGGTGTTCCACCACTCTTCTCCTGAAAATTTTCTCCATGGCTCTGCATACTATACATGTCAGTGACACTGGTCTGTAGTTTAATGTTGCCTATCTGTCTCCTTTCTTAAAGATTGGGACCACATTTGCTGTCTTCATACATCAAGTAGTTGCCATGTTTTGGTAGATTTATCGAAAATTGTTGTTAGTGGCACACACAGTGCCTCTTCTTCCTCTCTCCCAGGACCCCCCTGAGAGATGTTGTCCAGCCCCATCACCTTTGAAGTATCTAGTTCACTTAACAGCCTCTTCACCTCCTCCTTGGTTGGTGTACCCCACCATTCCGACTTTCCGGAGTCCTTCCTGTCTCTACTCTAAATACATCTTTAAATCTCATGTTGAGCTCCTCACGTACTTCTTAGTCGTTTCTTGCAAACTCCTTTCCTTCTTCAGCCTGATTACCTGGTCTTTGACTGTTGTTTTTCTCCTGATGTGACTGTACAACAGATTTGGTCAGACTTAGCTTTAAATGCTGTGTCGTTTTCGTATTGCCGCTGGGCCTCCCTCCTTACCTGAGCATTTTCATTTCTGGCTCTTCGGCTAATCTCCTTATTTTCCTAGTTCCTTTGTCTTCTATACTTTTTCCATTCTCTAGCACACTTAGTGTTTGCCTCCCAAGGGCTCATTCTCGTCTTCCCATTATTTCTGTTGCCCTTGGGTACGAACCTCTCCTCTGCCTCCTTGCATTTCACTGTCACGTAGTCCATCATTTCATTTACTGATTTTCCTACCAGTTCTCTTTCCCACTGAACCTTGTGCAGGAAATTCCTCATGCCTGTGTAGTCCCCTGTTTCACACTTAGGCTTTTCCCATCCTGTTCGTGCTGCTTCACTTTCCACTTGTAACTCTGCTATGTATACAAAGCCTAGAACCATGTGATCACTAGCTCCAAGAGGCCTCTCATATATGTCAGTGTCTGAACTACTCAGAGTGAATATGAGGTCCAGTCTTGCTGGTTCATCCTCACCTCTCTCTCTCTGGTAGTGTCCCTAACGTGTTGATCCATAAGGTTTTTCAGTACTACACCCATCATCTTAGTCCTCCACATTTCTGGTTCCCCCCATCCATGTGACTCCAGGTTTTCTCAAGTCAATTTCCTTGTGATTGAAGTCACCCACAACAAGTAACTTTGCCCTGCCCATGTGGATCCTTCTGGCCACTTCATCCAGTGTCCACCATTGCTCTGTTACTCTCATCATATTCTTGTCTTGGCCTCCTGCTATTCTGTGGTGGGTTGTAGATCATTTCAATCACCACCTTGAGACCCCTCAGTCTAAGGTGTTCCTACTTTGTAGGAACACTTCAGATTGGGGGTCCCCTACTTCCCCCTCCTTCCATGTGTGTGTGTACTCACCTGATTGTGGTTGCAGAGGTCGATTCATAGTTTCTGGCCCCACCTCTTCACTGTGTGTATGTGTGTGTGTGTGTAAGGGGGAGGAGGGATATGTAAGACATGATAATATTTCTCTATGGCTCCATTACCTCTCTCAGCCATCTTCAATATGTAATATATTTTTGTCTAAGTGAAGTAATCCTGGTGAGAGAGAGAGAGAGAGAGAGAGAGAGAGAGAGAGAGAAAGGTTTTGTTTAACCTGACAATGGTGGTGGCAGTGGTATTATTTTAACATTGTTAATGTCATGTTAACTTGAGGGTTAACCTTATGATCCTGTGTTAATTGTGAGTCCAGGACACTGCTGGAAAATTGTCTTCTTTCTTCTTATTATTATCATCGTCCTGAGTCAGTCAAAAATATCTGTTGTCTGTATCCTTACATGTTTAACGCTTCCCCGTGAAAATAATAATCACCTTGAAGAGCATTACTAACACTACTTACTACCCTTGACAGCAGTGGCACTGTGGGAGGTGCTGGGCATGTCCGGGGCACTGGTGGTGACCATCGTGGCATCAGTGGCCTTCCTGTGTTGTGCCTGTGGTGTGGCTGTGGTGGTGTGTGTGTATAGGAGGAACCGTGCTCTACACCGTCCCCCACCACCACAGACTCAACCAACTTACCCAAGTGAGTACTGGACCAGGGCAGGTTAGGGTAGCTTCGTCAGGAAACAAGACAAGTGTTTCCTGTGGTGTGTATAGGAGGAACTGTGCTCTACACCATCCCCCACCACCACAGACTCAACCAACTTACCCAAGTGAATACTCACTCTAAGGTAGGTTAAGGTCGTTAGGAAACAGGACAAGTGTTAAACCATACCACAGGAGGGGATAGAACCCACAATTAGAGAATCATAAAACTCCAGACCGACAGGTTAGCCAATGGACCAGTGGCTAATGCGTCGGTTTGGAGTTTTATGACTCTGATCGCGGGTTCTATCCCCACCTGTGGTGTGGTTTGTTTGCAGTCGTGTCATTACAATTTCATGAGTCAGGACAAGTGTTTCCTGTGGTGTTTACAGTAGGAACCATCCTGTTCACCGTCCCCCACCACCACAGACACAACCAACTTACCCAGGTGAGTACTGATCCCAAGGTAGGTTAGATAAGGTTCGTCAGGAAACTGGACAAGTGTTTCCTGATACAGATCTTAGTTATATAATGACCCACAGCTGGAGCTTTTGGTCATCTGACCGAGACCTTCCACTGGCTTACCACTCCACCACTTTAAAAATTATGCTTATGACTCTAAGGTGGTGTGAATTTCAGATATAATATAGTACACAGATATATAATGATATTTTGGCCACTTACACAATTATTATTGCAAAAATATAATCATTACAGTTGTAATGTTAACTTCAAAATGTGATTTACATGTTAAATTTATTAACATTTTTGGAAAAACATTGTTGGTAAGCATAGGTAGCAACATAACTTGTGTTCGTGATACTGTCACATCTCCACAGTGGAAGCCGGTGGACGCTATGGTACTAATGGCACCTTTGGCACCTTACTAGTGGAGAAGCCTCCACCGTACCCAGGAGTACCCCAGCATACCTCTGTTATACCTCCAGGTTAGTCAAGCAGACAATAGTCTCTCTAGGTTGATTATTAGTGGGGTTTAAAGCCTATCTACTACACCAAGGTCATTAACAGTGTACATAACCCCTTCACCACAAGTCATTTTACTATATAAACTCTCATTATATGCACACTGAGAGACATACACCACACAGTGTATATAATAAACTGTCTATCTCTCTCTTATGCTCTCTTCCAACAATTAAATACCAGTTTATACTCCCTTATAAGTACAGTGGACCCCCGGTTTACGATCAGCTCCCAATGCGAACAATTATGTAAGTGTATTTATGTAAGTGCATTTGTATGTGTATGTTTGGGGGTCTGAAATGGACTAATCTACTTCACAATATTCCTTATGGGAAAAAATTAGGTCAGTACTGGCACCTGAACATACTTCTGGGATGAAATAATATCGTAAACCGGTGGTCCATTGTATATTTTTATTATTATAAACAACAAGAGCTGCTAAACCTCTTATATGAAAAAGTTTTAAATAGTTCCTACTTATATATATTTTTCCTTATTAAATTTTTCTTAACATTAGTGTATCTCATTTTTTTTACAAATTAAAACTTTATTTTGAGAAAATGTAATTATAGTCTCATTATTGACAACAAATTATACTGAAATTGTTCAGTAGTTTTGTGTATATTGTAGTTACGCATATTCGTGAAGATGAACGCAGGAATACATGAAATCGATCACGCATCTTCAGTTTTCCTTCATGGTTCTTATAGCACAGATGGTTGGACTCAAAAATTCACCCAGAGAGACCTCCAAAAATTTTTAATTCTTCAAAATTTTGTTGTGGCCAATTTGTTTTTGATTTTGGTTTATTTTTCACCTCAAAGTCAGTATTTCTAAGTATCATTGTAATCTAGATAAATTAGACACATGTGCAACACCTGGGTGACTTTATGGTGATTCCCAGGTGTTGCACATATGTCTGGTCCAACTTGAGTCTTAAGTTAACCCTTAAATTGTCCAAACGTAGATCTACGTTTTTTCAACATTTGAAGGTATGTAAAAAAACATAGATCTTTTTTTTTTTTACAATTGAAAATGTGTAAAAAACTTTGATTTACGTTTTTTTATTTGAAAATATGTAAAAAAACGTAGATCTACTTTTAGAGCACCTCACATGTAAACATAGATCTGTTTGGTCAGTTTAAGGGTTAATGAACGACTTACCATAAAAGTTAGAATAGAATGGGATTCGAACTGTGGTCTTGATGGGTAGCAGGTCCATCACTGTACCACTGAGCTACGGGGTTGTCAGTAGGAAGGCTACACTTCTGTGGCTCCTCTCTGTGTCAGATGTCATCAGCTGTCACCCAAATGTTCCTTCCCACAGCCCCAGGAGCTATCCTAGTCCATCTGTCTGTGAAACCTTGCTAGCTCAGTGGTCCAGTTACTACCTGCCAGCACCACGATTCGAATCCCCGTTTATGCTGCTGTTTATTCAGCTGATTCATCAGCTTGGTAGTGCTGTATACCATTGCTGTAATACCCTAGTGCTGCTCTAGTCTAGTTGGCAGCACTCTAGTGCTGCTCTAGTCTAGTTGGCAGCACTCTAGTGCTGCTCTAGTCTAGTTGGCAGCACTCTAGTGCTGCTCTAGTCTAGTTGGCAGCACTCTAGTGCTGCTCTAGTCTAGTTGGCAGCACTCTAGTGCTGCTCTAGTCTAGGCAGTACTCTAGTGCTGCTCTAGTCTAGTTGGCAGTATTCTAGTGCTGCTCTAGTCTAGTTGGCAGTACTCTAGTGCTGCTCTAGTCTAGGCAGTACTCTAGTGCTGCTCTAGTCTAGTTGGCAGTACCCTAGTGCTGCTCTAGTCTAGTTGGCAGCACTCTAGTGCTGCTCTAGTCTAGTTGGCAGCACTCTAGTGCTGCTCTAGTCTAGTTGGTAGTACTCTAGTGCTGCTCTAGTCTAGTTGGCAGCACTCTAGTGCTGCTCTAGTCTAGTTGGCAGCACTCTAGTGCTGCTCTAGTCTAGTTGGCAGCACTCTAGTGCTGCTCTAGTCTAGTTGGTAGTACTCTAGTGCTGCTCTAGTCTAGTTGGCAGTACTCTAGTGCTGCTCTAGTCTAGTTGGCAGTACTCTAGTGCTGCTCTAGTCTAGTTGGCAGTACTCTAGTGCTGCTCTAGTCTAGTTGGTAGTACTCTAGTGCTGCTCTAGTCTAGTTGGTAGTACTCTAGTGCTGCTCTAGTCTAGTTGGTAGTACTCTAGTGCTGCTCTAGTCTAGTTGGCAGTACTAGTGCTGCTCTAGTCTAGTTGGCAGTACTAGTGCTGCTCTAGTCTAGTTGGCAGCACTAGTGCTGCTCTAGTCTAGTTGGCAGTACTAGTGCTGCTCTGGTCTAGTTGGCAGCACTAGTGCTGCTCTAGTCTAGTTGGCAGTACTAGTGCTGCTCTGGTCTAGTTGGCAGTACTAGTGCTACCCTAGTCTAGTTGGCAGCACTAGTGCTGCTCTAGTCTAGTTGGCAGTACTAGTGCTGCTCTGGTCTAGTTGGCAGTACTAGTGCTACCCTAGTCTAGTTGGCAGTACTAGTGCTACCCTAGTCTAGTTGGCAGCACTAGTGCTACCCTAGTCTAGTTGGCTTAATTTTGAAGGAAAGCATACAAATAGCCTTCAGTTAACTCACTAATAACTATATCTATTTAGTGGAAGCACTTTACTAATGATGATAGATTCAATGCACGTCAATTAATTATTCTATGAATTTCGGGGTTCGACTGCTGTAAACAGTAATCAAATAGGTATTTGTGTATGATTAGATTTAGTATGTTATTTTAGTAGCTGATGAGTATGTTTATACAGTAGTGTTATTCTCTCGCTGGCTTGTGTATATGTACACGTCTCCAGAAGCCTTGTACCTACTTACACTATTGATAAGTCACACACACACCTCATGAGGATTTTCACCCACTTAAATCATTTCTAAACAACTCACACCTACTTACATGGATTTTAAAAGATACTTAAACTCACTTACATGACTAAGATGGTCGAATATATACGTGGCTTCAGGAACACTTATAAGACTTGAAAACAAGTACATATGCATAAGAAGAAATTGTGGGTGCTTTCACACACTCACACACACACACACACACACACACACACACACACACACACACACACACACACACACACACACACACACACACACACACACACACACACACACACAGCATTCCTATACCTTAGTAAGGAATCATTCAAGACACTGTACACCATGTACATCAGGCCCATAATGGAGTATGCAGCACCTGTTTGGAACCCACACTTGATCAAACACGTCAAGAAATTAGAGAAAGTGCAAAGGTTTGCAATAAGGTTAGTTCCAGAGCTCAAGGAAATGTCGTATGAAGAAAGGTTAAGGGAAATCAGCCTGACGACACTGGAGGACAGGACAGTTAGGAGAGACATGATAACGACATACAAAATACTGTGTGGAATAGACAAGGTGGACAGAGACAGGATGTTCCAGAGAGGGGACACAGAAACAAGGGGTCACAGTTGGAAGTTGAAGACCCAGATGGGTCAAAGGGATGTTAGGAAGAATTTCTTCAGTCATAGAGTAGTCAGGAAGTGAAACAGCCTAGCAAGTGAGGTAGTGGAGGCAGGAGCCATACATAGCTTTAAGATGAGGTATGATAAAGCTCATGGAGCAGGGAGAGAGAGGACCTAGTAGCACTCGGTGAAGAGGTGGGGGAGGTAGCTGAGTCTCGACCCCTGCAACCACAATTAGGTGAGTACACACACACTATGACTCGACCCCTGCAACCAGAGTCAGATATGGATGAGAGGAGATGAACCAGCAAGGCTGGTGGAAAAATAAACACAAATGCAGTATAATAATCTTTATTGACTATGTTTTGCCCACACAGTGGTCTTTATCAAGTCACAAATAGATCTACCTGGGTAAGGAGTACATTAGTGTATATAATGTGGAGAGTCAGGTGGAGAATGTTGGGTAGGTTGTATATGAGAGGAACCTACATGGGACCTACAAGGGACATGTAGGTCCCTCTCATGCACAACCTACCCAACATTCTCCACCTGACTCTTCACATTATATACACTAATGTACTCTTTACCCAGGTAGATCTGTTTGTGACTTGATAAAGCCCACTGTGTGGACGAACGTAGTCAATAAAACATCGCATTATACTGCATTTATGTCTATTTTTCCAGGTACAGTAGACGGACAGCATGAAGAAAACAGACTTTAGAAAGGAGAATTCTGAGAGGTTAAGAGACTTCCTAAATGTTGTAGACTGGAAGAGTGAATTAGAAGGTCAATGGACAAGATTATGGTGTACCTGGAAAGTGCAAGGAAGCTGTGGAGACTTTAATACCAAGAGGATGCAGGAACAACAAAGACAGAGAGAACCCTTGGTTCAATCAGAGATGCTGGGAGGAAAAGTGTAAGCGAACAAACAATATAAAGGAGAAAAACAGATGAGAAGAGAGAGATGAGCAGATTAACCAGAAACGAATATGTTAGAGTGAGGAGAGAGGCTGAGAGACAGTCTGAGAATGACATGGCATCAAAGGTCTGAACCAAAACCACTTCATAGTCACATCAGAAGACAGACAACAGTGAAGGACCAAGTAATTCAGCTGAGGAAGGAAGGAAGGAAGAGAGCTCACCAACAATGACAAGGAAGTTTGTGAAGTGTTTGTTAATCACATGATTTGAAGAAGTCTTCACAGTGGAAACTGGGAAAATACCAGAGAGACTAATGATCAGGGGCCACCAACAGGTACTGGATGACATCCACACAAGATGGGAAAAGATAAATAAACTTTTGATGGAGCTGGAAACATCAAAGTCAGTGTGACCTGACAAGGTGTCACTATGGATTCTGTGAGAGGCAGTAGAGGCACTATCTGAACCACTATGATCTACAGCAAGTTAATAAACACAAGACCGTTACCAGAGATCTGGAAGGCAGACAGGTGTTAAACTACAGACCAGTTTCTTTAACAT